AAAAAAAAAAAAAAAAAAAAAAAAAAAAAGAATGCCCTAGGCCCAGTGGTGGAGATCCTCAAACCAAGCCACAAAAACAAAACAGTCTAAACCTGTGAAGGGTGGATTACACCTTATTCTTGGCTGAGATTTGGGGAGGAATAGCTACAAATTCAAGGCTAGCTAGGGCTACACAGTAAAATTCTATCTCTGTCAAATTCAGTCAACCAAAAAACCCATCAACAAAACTTGTCTAATTTTATATGGATTTCAACTCAACAGTCAAGATTTAACAAACAAAAAACCAATCCCATGGCACAGCAAAAAGCCTTCCCACTCTGGAGCACAAGGGTTGGCCCAGGCTTTCTTTTATTGGTGTATTTGCAATTCACTGTGGTGCCCTGACTGGCATGGAACTTGGAATAGTTCTCCCACTTCAGCTTCCTAAACGCTGGTAACTCAGGGACCAGTGGGACACCTGGGTACAGGAGTAAACCTGTCTAGGGGCTTGTCTGCTGGAGCTGCAGGGTGGAATGTACTTCAGAGAGGGTCTAAACCAAATGTTGTATCAAGACAGGGGACTAAGAGATGAAGCTATAGCTATAGCTCAGTTGGTGGACCACTAGCCTAGCAGTACCAGGTAAAGCAGGTGTAGTGGCAAAAGCCTATCACCATAAGTTAGAGGAGAATCAGAATTCAGGGTCATTCGTAAATAAGAGATACTGTCTCAAAAACAAAAAAGCTCTTAAGAACTGTCCCTTCCAATCAAAACCCCAAAGCCAAACTAAGAGTCAGGCATGGTGGAATTTGCCTGTAATCCCAGCACTTGGGAGATTGAGACAAGAAAACTGAGTTACTCAGGCTGGGCACCGCTGCATTGCAGAGCCCTCAAAACAAGAACAAAGGAATCAATCAACCAAACCACCCAAAATCAAACAGAAAAAGGGGCTGTGGACCAGCTTCCCACTAGGCTAAGTTCAGAAAGGGGCTACGCCTTTGAGGCTGGACTCCAGTCCACAGAGTGGCCGCTGGGAGGGCTGGAGGGTGGGAAAATGAGAAGACTGGAGGAGTGGTAGTTCTGTAGGAAGAGACCAGCAATACAGGTGGGTGGACTTCTCACAGCTTTCCACTTAAAACTGTTAAGTTCTTGATTAAAAGCACAAGCTGCTAAAACCAGGCAACACCACGTTAAAAACTCTCCACACTCATGACATACCTTCCTTCACCTGTGTCACCTGTGGACCAAGGGAGGACAGACACATATAGGGCTAGACCCCAGCCTGGCTCCCTGGGTGGCTTGTGGCTGCCATAATATCTGTGCGTGCTGGCCCTTTGGGGTTTTTCTCTCAATCTTTAGTTAATGGACACTGTAGTGACTGCACTGGGGTCATGGAGGTTTCACTTCAGTCGCCCCCTCCACACCGATCATGGAGTTTGTCATAACCCCATCCTTAGCTTTCAGTGCTTAAGACATGGTCACTAAAAGCACTCTAACACCAAGACAGATGTCAAGTTGCAAGGTTCTTGTTTGAAATGCTCTATGTACAAAATGCCCTAGAAGCAAAAAAAAAAAAAAAAAGAAGAAGAAAGAAAAGAAAGCTTAAATAAATAGGCAGGGCTGTGATGCAGAAACTGAGGGGTCCCTGGGACCCAAGGGGCTGGAGGAAGAGGAAAAGGTTGGGAGCACCTGGCCATGGGCAGTGGCTGCCACGTGGCTCAGTGACGATGTCCACGAAGGCCTTGGAGCCTTGTCCCTTCAGTCATGGATTCCAAAGCTCTGAGAAGTGGCCTTCATGGTGCCTGGGTGACAGACAGCTTCCAAGCACCATCTTCGCCACCAAAGAGAGTACCTATCTAGGTACCACAAACTGGCAGGAACCATTGTCCCTTGACATCACTGTGTCACCCTTGGTGGAGCCCATAAGCCAAGAGGAGCTGAGATGGTCCCATAATTGTCCTCCATGGAAGGCCGCACAGCTGCTAGGAAGGAAGCTCCTTCAGTCAGGTCCAGCGGGACTTCTGCCTAGTACCCTGGGCCAAGAGGCGATGTTGAATATGAGCAAGGAGATTGCCGAAGGCAAGATGGGTACCCAAAGTCTCAGCTGCCATCAACTGTACATGCACACCTGGCCCCAAGCTCCTCCCCTGCACTAAGATCACCTTCCAGAACAGTCAGGTCGAGAGGCTGACTTCCAGGTCCTCAGAAGTCCCTGAGTGCAGGGGCACTGGAAGAACAGCAGGATGAGGAAAGTGAGGATTATGTCTCTACCCTCAGCTTGCCCTGGGCTGGAGGCTGCTTTGTGCTGTTGCACTTAGGTAGTCGGCACCAAGGTTTTGTTGAACAGTCTGATGATGGCCCTATACACAGATTGTCATCCTATTCAGACAAAGATTAGGACATCAGTCCCCTCCAAGAGATGGCACTGAGTCCTGGTACAGGCAGGGATCAGCTGTCACCCTCAGAGGCAGATGACGGCTCCAACATTCCTGGGACTCACTCAGCTCTGGACAACGGTGAGGGGCTGGTAGATACCCTGGTGGTTTTGTTCCCAGAGAGCTCCAGTGTTGGGTCCAAGTTGGGGACACAGGCCAGAAGGGCCTCACAGAAGGCTGGCCAGGCTGGTGTTAGGTCCATTCTGAGCTTGGAACTGCACAGGTGGTGGGCCATCTGTCCACTGTCGGGGAGAACACACATGGGTGAGCCTGGTGGCCCTTCTAGGAAAAAGGGACAACATAGCCCTTCACACCTGAGGAGCTGGAGGCCCTCACCCGCATGTCTGCTCCCCACCCTGTATACCGTAATGAGGTTGTGCTCTGGGAGGCTGCAGGCCTCAATGTGGTCCTGTAGCAGCTGCTGGGAGAAGTTCTGGTGCATCTGTGCAGCCTCATGGGCATCCATGGCATTCCCGCATGCCTTGTTCAGATCTGAGAATGGAGCAGGGGTCATTGTCTAGTTCATATTCTGGGTGGCCAAACCCATACTAACCAGAGCAGACAGGAATTGCCCTCAGGGATGCAAACTCATCTTGAGGTCCAGAAGGATCATCCACAAAGCCCTATTAGGAGAAGTCCCAGCTCCACCTACCACAGTTCTTAAAAGTCCCCTGGAAAATCAGGCATGGTGGCTTGGCAGGAAAGGAATATAAATCTCTGTGAGTTCAAGACCAGCCTTGTCTACATAGAATTCCAGGCCAGCTAGGGCTACATATCAGACCCCATCTCCAATAAACAAAAATAAAAGTCCCTGGAGATGCAGTCCTGCTCATGTGCTATCAGGGCCCCACAAGTATGTCTGATAGCCTTGTTCACTCTCACCTCTCAGGAGGGCCGATGACCACAACTGCACAGACATGTCTGGGATCTTGCTGGCCAGTTGCATGGCAGGCACCACCATGTTGTTACTCTCCTGCCAATCAAAAGCTAAGGATGAATTGGTGGCTTTGGAAGAGTGGCTTTGACTCCACCTGCCCATTTTATGTTCTGCTGCTGCTGGACAAATTCAGAGCCTACCTAAAATGGTCACCTGAAATAGTCTTGTTCACCTTGAAAAAAACAACAACAACAATAACAGCAACAAAAACCAATGAGCATCCTTGCTCCTGCTCTGCACATGAGGCAATGAGTGGACCACAGTGTGCTTCCTGCTAGATAGAGAAAAAAACAGCTCTGACGTCACAATAAGAAATGATTAGCCAAGGGGCAAGAGAGATGGCTCAGAGGTTAAGAGCACTGACTGTTCTTCCAAAGGTCCTAAGTTCAATTCCTAGCAACCATATGGTGGCTCACAACCATCTGTAATGGGGTCTGGTGCCCTCTTCTGGCCTGCAGACATACATGGAAGGAATGCTGTAT